ATCAGTTTCCAAAAAAAAAAAGCCACGGCTCACATGTATATCGCGTACGTAGCCAACATTACGATGTCATTCTGCGAGCTCGCTTCAACGAAATTTAATTTTCCTTTTCATGAATTGGACTGTGATTGGCTACTCCTCTTCAATAGCCGCGCGCCGGCCAAGTTTTGCTCACCACTTCGCTCGCTTCCGGTCATAACCCGATTCGTGACAACCTATGCAATCTATTGATATCTCTATTGGACTTCCATACTCTCGACTTTTGCAATTTAATTTTCGCAAGAACCTCTACGTTACTTTTGTAAAGTTGACACCCCAGAATTTCGATATGTAATAATTAATAGAGTTTTATTTTTTTCCAAAGAGTTCTAGAGTTCCCGATGCATTTCAGAAGTTAAAGAAATTTCAAAGAAATTTTTGGCAATAAAATATAATATAAAAAAATAGAAAAAATAGAAATTTATAAATATTAAACGCCAACTTTGTGTTATTGTTTAACAAAAAATAAAAAATTGTTGGTCAAAAATGCGTAATAGCTTTTCTATTTCAATAAGAATATATGTGCATCATAATATTTTTCAATAAAACGCTTGAAACTTTATTTAAAATTACCAAGAAAATAAATTTGTCAAAAATGAATTATTTATTGATTATTGAATATGTCCATTACATAAATATCTGTTAATAAGAGTAACCTTCCTACACGGATAAAACGCAGATATCCACTTGCTCAGTTATAAAGTTGTATCATTCAAACGAGTAGTTATTTTCCGTAAGCCCGTACGTTACTGACCTTAGAACATGGACATATGCTTGAATCACCTGTTCATTCGCATACTAATTAAACAAAATAGAATTTAGTGGTGCATGCAAAATAACATTCCATTTATTTTTTGCAAAAATAGAATAAAGCGTAGAACATAAAATATAAATAAATATACAGATAACTGCAAGTTAAATTTCTCCGAAAATAAATAAATAAAAAACCAAAATTAGAACAATAATATAAAAAAAGTATTTCAAAAGCCTAGAAAGCAAGAATGACTGATTGCAAAAAAATACAATAAATTGCAAGTTATTGTCATTGCACTTTAAGTCGAGAAAATCAATAATCTAGTCAGATTTTCCTATGTGGTTGTCAAATAAAACAATATTGCAATACAATGCACAATATTGCAATAGAATGCACACAATAACATTAAAAGAGCAACAAATAAATAAACTCGCACTTTTGTTCCTTCGCTGTTTGCAAAACAACGCGCAATTACGTGCGCGGAACAATAAAAATGCTCGAATGTACTGTTCGAATGGAATAGCTCAGGGACAAATATGCGGTAATCATTTTTCGGAGCCGTGGGCTGTCAAGGTTCGCCCACCTCAAGTGCACCGAACTAAACTTTTGTCTGCCTGACCTCGCGGTGTCAGTGACACCCTAGTATCTTGTGACATATAGCGTTCACGACCTCACCAGGTCGTGCTCGTGAGCGGGCAATGCCACGCTGTCAAAAAGAAAAATTCCCCCAATCGCAACCTTGAAACATGCCCGCAACATATGAAAAAAGTCATTCCGATTAACAAGGAAACTAAAAAGACATTGAACCGCGAATACTTTACAATTGTTCTTTTAAAATTCTTGATGAACGATTTTTCTAAACAATTTTTTTTGGCATTTTCTTTTTCTTTTGTTTTTAAACACTTAAACTTTACACTTATTTCTTGAGTTTGATTTCTCTTTTTCTTAAGATATAACAATACTTCACATCACAATACCTTCTTCATTAATAACTGTTAATTGCTTCTCTTGAACGATAATGTATCAATTGCTTTGTGCCTGTGTCTATTATTATATCTATTAACATGTTAGCGTGTTCTATAGCAGATAATTTACGATAATTTTCGCGCATATTACAGCTTTATCATAACTCGACACTTTAATGACAAGTATATTACGTTAGTGAGAAATTTATCGTCGCAAATACTGTTAAGCCCTCGTAAATTTAACAAAAACATCATGTAAAGATACCTTCAACGTGATCGTGCGAGTGTGACGAAATGAAACTTCCGCGTCTACCGCACTATCTACGGGTCTCCGGGCGAACTTGACCCGGTTACTAAGCTGCAGGAATATTTCACGGTACCTGCTGAGTGCAGGTAACTCGAACGACGGCCTGTCGCCGTAGGTGAATCGCGATGAAAGAGGGGAAAACGAAGAAGGTGACGCGAAGGTGCGCGGCGCTATAGATGCGAAAGCCATATCGTATGACGGGACAAAGAGTGGGTCAAGTTCAGCGACACGTGGATGGAGTAACAGCGCAGTCACTCTCACTTTCATATCCCCGCACATGTATCTGAACGAACAAACACTTGCGGCTGACGTGCATACTCGATTCATTCTCCCGTGAGATACATCCCTTTCACGCGCTTTCGTCAATTTATGCGCAAAATAGAAAAAGTACTTTGGCACAGTTATCTGTGCTCAAATGACGATATTTAAGACTTGCAGGGAGTCCTTTTCGAGAATTTATGGAAAGAATTAAATAATAATAGAAGAGTTGTCATCGTTCAGACGTTAAATACGCGAAGAGAATTGAGAAGATAATTCTATATTATCGAATCATTAAGAAGTTTTTATCTTTCATCCATCAATGTAAAATCAATGTAAAAGTAATTATCGAAATGTTAAATGTCTCTAATTTCTCACAGAATTATCGAATTCTCCTAAGTTCATCTCGTATGTAATAATACAAAAAAGTGTTCAGTCCTCCATTCCTCTTTTATATTTTACGCCGCATATTTAAAGCATCTTTATTCCGTCATTATCTTTACAGCTGACAGATAAATCGTTTTCCCTCTCGTCAGAAAAGAGAGCCGGAAGGATAAAATTCAGAAATATCTTGACGAAGTAAAAAAGATACGCATAGGATCATTAGTTATTCAAGTTCGCGACATTTCACATTTTCCTAATTGATCTCCCGACAAATTCTGTTTTATCAATGTTCATTGCACAACGCGACAAATAAAGATAATTCCTCCTGACACTGAATCAATTTTCGCAAGATCACGGACTCTATTTTTGTCCTTGGAAGTCACGGTAACTAGGTGAACGGCTCCGAGACAAGAAATCGAAGGTTTTTCAGCGCCAAGATTAGTGTGAGATAAATTTTAAGCTGCCGAGACGCGAATTGATCCCTTTGTACATATGCATCGACTGTGCTCAATTCCTTTCAACAATACAATATTCTCCTACTTTTATCCAAGCGGTACGTTAATAAAAGAATAGCCTCCGAAAATGATCCAAGATAGGCGAAACAAGTCGCAATGAGAATTATACAATAAATTGCAAATTGCGGTAATTGCAATTGCAATGTGTACCGTTACACTTGATTGAAATTCATAGAAATTATTATTATCGAAATTACTTGCAGAACATATACGGCAAAATTTATTATACCTACAAAATCTATGTATCATTATATAATGCAACGATTAGTTGGAACGCTGTTAGCACAAACTCACAATATATTATTCTTCACGATCCCAAAGTTGTAACATTACCGCATACGAAAAGAAAACGTATATAGTACGCATTATAAATTACGAATAAATCACAACTCAAATGCAAACCTTTTATCCGCAATTATATCGATATACCGCGGTATTCCCTGTGCAAAGTACGACAAGCATAGATGACACCTAAATTATGGAGCTCCAAAATTGCGGCCGCACGTAGCCGCGAAGGCAGAAATAGAAATCGAAATTCGGAATTCCGACGGGTATAATTACGCCGCTATTCTACCGATGTTACTGCGGCCTATTACGAAACTCTCGTGGACGACAGCGCCCGTTCCCTGATTATCCTGCCCACCTGTCACAGCGATTACTCGTAGATACATAATCCGATTGCCGTTTGCCGATGACAGGCGTCGTCGTACGGAACGTATGCACGTGCAAGCTGTGATTGCACACGATGACCATGTTTATTCGCCTCTGTAACCGGCGCCGGATCATCCCGAAGATTTGGAACCGCGATGCACGTACGTGCATTTCATCCGTAATGGCAATATATACAAGTTCACGATTGCAATCACGATCTCCGACGTTGCTGAACACTGTGACGCGCAGCATATATCTCGTACCCAAATCGCCTCGATGCCTAAAAGCATCATCAAGCTCATCACGCAAAATTATGAATGCAGGAAGCATATTAAACCAGCGTGCATATGTTGGAACTGAATCCGTCAGGCATGTTTCTCGCGTATTATACGTAATGTCTATGAACATAATAGGTATAAATATTTCGTAAATAAAAATATTCCAAATTGTTTTCTTGTTTATGTTGTGCATAATTTTTTTCTCTAAAGTAAAAATAACTAATATGTTTTGTTAATCATGAATAAGCGTAGTAATTATGTGACGCTACATGTTTGATATGCAAAATACATCGTTTGACGAGGCACAAAACAATATTCAGCCTTGCGTCGCACGTCGTGAGCATGCATGTAATCGAGACAAAATTTGTAGAATTTTGACGGTAGCCTTAAAAACAGGTGGAAGCTATATCAAGCTTTTGTTTTCAACGCACACGTGCAATCGAGTACTCGCTACATCGACACACCTCGTGTCGAAATACTACTATTCGGCCCTTGATCAATCCGCGGTGCTTCTCGTGGACTCTCATTAACGCTCGCCTTGAAAAATACATCAGGGTCGCGTCGGGACTTATCGAATTTCCGCCGTGAACAAACACGCGGGCGTACCGCGCATATCGATGGCCACGAGTCATCGTCGGATGTGAAGTTCACGGTGACACGACGCACCGCGAAAAGCAACCACGACGACAGGAGTGCCGGCAAGGGCGGCCGCGATGGGCGGCGACAAAGAAAGAAATCGAAACGAGAAAGATGCGATCGCGTGGTTGCGACGTATAAAGAACCGCCGGTTTCGACGAGACTGCAACACTTTTTGATCACCCTCCGACAAAGGCTCAGTGGTTTCAAAGCGAAATGGTCGGTCCAGTGCATTCGAGAGTCGCCGCGTTGACATTCATTCTGTTTTTTGATGTTTTCACGCATGTTCAGGCTGAATACACTAACTGTGAGTATACAAACTCCGAGTGTACACTAATTTATTTTTGTTATATCATCAGATGAGGTTACTGTGTCTCTGCAAAGAGTTTCGTGTAATAGTGAAAAAATATAGAAACACGGTCGCGTGATATATAAAAGTATATAAAAGTAATTAAAAAATTTAATTTTGAAAAAATTCCACAGAAAATTGCCTTTTTTCTTAAATACTGAATTTAAAAACATTTTTTAAATACTTTTAAGAAGCAAAATAATCTCAGGGCGGTTTTGAGGTAACGCTGAAGAGGGAGAGTGACGAAGACGAATAGTACAATTACTCCTGTAATTAAACTGAGAACTCTGTAGTCATTTTAAATCTTCTAATTTATAAATATTTTTATATTACAACTAAACGCATAAAACTATCATCTTATTGTCAGTTTTGTTAAAAAGTGTAATATCTTTAAAGTAATATGCCGTTGTAATATACATAACAGCGTTTAGCATTACAATTTCACGTTCTCTGTATATATTATATTTTTTTATTTTTCAATTACGTGAGTGTTATTTCACGTCGCCACGTGCAACCGGAAATGTGATATGGTACTGACAGTATCTTATTACGCGTTGTAATAGTAATAACAAAATGTTCATAAAGCACCACCCACGCAGAAGATACTCCTGTGTACTTATTTTCGTAGTTATCTGTAAAGTGGGAACCTAAAGCCCCTTCTGTGGTTCGCGCAAAGTTTAGGTAGTAAACTTACTTTATCAAACTACACATCTATAGTAAACTCTGTATTAGTCAGTTCGCTCGAAACTCTGAGAAGCTCGCCAACTATTCGTGTTGCAATTAATTTTTCGAAAACTTATTTACTGCGTACTATATTTTACGCAGTATACTTCACTTTGTTATTATTCCGAAAAGTTCGAATAATTATGTTTTTAGCTTTAAACAGGTTATGTTCAACTTATATTTACCCGTCACAAAAGTAGTAAAAAATACTTTCTTTGAAACAAGATAACTCTTTTTATAATCTTCTGATAATTTTATCACATTAGTGATAATTCATAACTTAAGATAATTCTTTCATAAACCTTGATTATTTTTACTTATCTAATCTGATAAAATTATCACAAAGAGACACCGGGATAAAGTTGCGAGATAATGCTACAACTTTAGCGTGCGCGCGTGCCATTCAACGAGTACATCCGTACGTAAATATCAATGTAGTTACCGTAAAAGGGAGAATTAAATAGTGGTTATGGTAGCTGGCACAAGTGGAAGGATAATAAAAAAATGCACTACTGTAAATCGATGTTTCCCGTTGCAAAAAATCGGCGCAGGAAATACCGAAATGTATTTTCCAAACAGTTTGGAACAGAGGGCGCATAATATTAGATGCATTTTATGCAGCGGCTCGTTGCCGCCGTTGACGACGGGGTCGGTCGACAACGATCGCTCTCGAGCTTTTCTGTGGGGTGGCATCCATTTAACCAAAGTGGAGGCAGTAGACGGTAAGCGGAAGTCAATGGAGAATTCGGAATAGAAGCTTGCGGATTACGCTGGAACACCGGAAGTTAATAAACCGAATTTAGTGTTCGCTATTAGAGCAGGGAACATTCGCTCCCTACCACCGTCGCCTTCCAACCAATACCTAGAGTGATTTAGCGAGAGAATAAACGAGAGAATATGAAACGAGATAATACGAGGGGAAAATATATGTATAATAATAATAATAATAAATTAAATACAACGCACAGAATAGATTAATATTTTTAACGTATTTTTAAAACACATTTTTTAAAATCTAATATTCATTATTTCCCTTTCGTTGAATAGTTGTATATATTTGTATGTATTCAAATTAATTTTTAATTAACATACTATAAAACCATTTAAATGTCGTTTGCAATAATGTCAATAACGCTAATAAAGCATAGTCCAGTTGAATAAAATTGAGATAATTACTCAGTGTTTATCTTTAATCGGTGAGATTACACTATAGAGAATGTTTTGAAATAAGATAATGCTTTTATCGCGGTAAATATTTGATACAGTAGACAACAGTTAAGCGGCTAATATACCGAGCGTGCTGCATAGATTGAACTAATATGGCTAATAGAGCTTGTTAATCACTTAATTGTAATCCGGTTTGTAATACATACTTCAGTGTAGATAAATTATATCCGTTGCTGTTTATCTAAATTGTACTGCGATAAAATTATATTTATTTAGATTTTTCGTGCGTTCTATCGATAATGCAAAATCCGGCAAAACATTAAAAACTGTATTGCATAAATCAGAATTATATTTTAGAGACAAATTTCAATTTTCTTACTGAAACATATTTTCCTGTAGATTTGACATCGTTTAAAACGTGTCTTTTAATATTGACAAAATTTCCACTTATTCAAACAAGTAAGTATAGAGATGAGTGAATATTTCATTCCGCATGTCGAAATTCGTCAGCCAACCGACCGAACGATCGGGATAAAATGCATGCGCTTGGAAAAAATGATGAAATTAACGCGCCGCAAAAAATTGTCTCCCATGTTGATTTACGTCCCAAAAAGCTCTCGTGCCAGAGACAGCGCGTTGATAGATTATTTGTACAGCGCGATGCATAATGCAGATTGTATAAAGTGTCATTATCTCATTTACAATTCACTCTTTGGTACGAAACATCAGACAGCGCCGGCTGGGCGGATTTAATAAATAATAATTATTTGTTTTACCTGCAATAAAACGGTCATTTCCATCAAATATTTAGGCCCTATATTATGTGAAAGCGAGGCAAAGTGGTTTATTCATCAGATTGACAGCTGCCTACCAATCATTCTTTTGTTGAACAATTACAATTGATTATGCATATGAATTTTACGCCTCGTGACTTGATAATCAACCGCGAAGTAGTGCGATACAACGAGAGCCAACGCATTAAAGATAATTAACCTTTTATATTGTCGCTGACTGAATAAAATTTTGATGATTATTACTCGATAGGTCATAATCAGCACCTGATATCCGTTCAACAAATTATATTATTCGAAACTCTATGCCCGAAATTTCGCACGTATTATTTATGCGCGCAAATACATATCTCGAATGTTATTAAAATATTTTCTCAAATTTCAGTTGACTCGTTTTATAAATCCAGCCATTTGTAAATAAAAGATAATCGGTATTACATGGAAAAATATTTCTCGCATGAAGTATTTAGTTCGGATGTTACAGTTATTCGGTCGATACACAAATTACGATACTACGCAAATTACGTACTGTTACGTCGCAGTTGTAATCGTTTAGATGTATGGGCCACTATACAAATATATCGAAAATCGAAAAATGTGTAGTTTACCGTTAACAAAAAATCGCATCTTTTATGATAGCACGCAGTTCGAAATTAAAGAAATGCATTTGGTTAAATATTAACTAGAGTAAACATTTGAAATGTCGAGATATCATTTTGAATCTTTTCGAAATAGTGTGACATTCGCGAATATGCTGATTTCTATAATTTGTGTTTATATCACTGAAGCTAATTGTAAGTTAAAAATGTCAATTTAAAAGACAACTGGCATTTTTAGCACTGAGCGCGATTCTTACGTAGGCGGAAGATAAGTGCGGAATAGCAGACTAGTCAGATAAGCCTTGCCGCGAGGTCAAATGTTGGAGACGTGACCTCGTCGTAGCTCCAACATTCCAACTTTGTCAACGACCGATCAATGTCAAAATCAATGATGGTAGTATCAGGAAGGTTTTTAACCCGCTCGAGGTCATGAGAAGGCTCCGCAAACTTCTACAGTGACGGCTCATTAATAGAAGAGAAAGTAGTAACACGAAATATTCATTATTCATACGCTTCAGTGATATAAACACAGATTACAGAGACCAGTATCTGAAATTATCGCACTGTTTCGAAGATATAATATCACAATGTTTCAAATTTTTATTCCAATTAATATTTTTATCGTTTTCTCAATGACTTTCGAATATATCATATACGCAATTGATACGCCGGTTTCGAGTGCTATGCATTTGACAGGAAAATTTATATGTCATGCATATTGAAACAGCATAGAATTTATGAGATTTAACGGATAGCGAATTGTCGGTCAGAGAAGATATAAGTACATTGTTCTTTTAATTCGGAGTGATCAAATTGAAATACGTCTTTTTTAAAGTGTTTAATGATGTCGCGTTAAATAAATTGCAGTAGATATTTTGGATTTATAACTGTTTGAGTTGACCCAGAGAGAACACTTGCTATAATTACTCCACGAGTACTAATCTGTATAACACTTTTTATCTCCTTGGTTTTCCTGGTGAGATATTGGGTCTAAAATTGTTCGGACAGACGTCCGTGATTGTCCCCAGATTTATCTTATCGTTAGCAGAGAATCAATATTAAATAAAACTTGATCTCATTTATATATCTAGCGTATACAAGATTTAAAAAAATATATTACATAAAACAAACTTTAAAGAGATTTTAAGTTATAAAATAAATTGGAATAGTTTGAATTTTTTTTCCTTTATATGTAAAGTTCGCCATTTTAATCATAATTCATTATTTCATGCTGTTATGCAAAATAATATATTTTTCAGATTAAGTTTATAAAATCTTTTCTCTAAAAGTCGGAAAGAAATCTTTACCTTTAGTTATCAATCTCTGGTTATCTTTATAACTGATTTAAATTGACGAAACTTTTTACTGGCTTTCAACTTCATATATTTAATTGACGTCCCTAACTTAATTAAAATTAAATATCAATTGATATTAATCAGTTATAAATGCAAAATTGCGCCGTACCTGTCATTTGACAACGATATCGTCGACATCGTATTTCGCGCATTATATCCTCATAGATCCGCATTGGATCCACTTTGCCAACACAAGCGCATTGCAGCTTTGGCTGCCAAGATATCGCCGATTTACAGCCAGGCTTTCGCAAAAACACGCAAAGAGAGAGAGCTCTTTTTTCGACATTTCGCCGAGCACACAACCCCGACCCGGTTGGAAGGATAAACGGGGTGACTCCGCGCCAAACCCGGCCACCACACCGAGGCATCGGGCGTATTATCATGATCGCGTCCCCGGGCTGGTTTTGACATATCTATTACGCGTTTCGGAATAGAGGCGACTTCGAATTCTATACCACTCTCCTCCCTCTCGCGGCCGCTTCGACGTCCTTTCCTCGCCCGTTGTGGAAGAGCGACGGGGACGGGAAACGCGGTAGTGCAGGCGTAGAGGTCCAATTAATCAGTCGGGGCGTGAAACGAGAGGGAGTCCGACCCGTGGGTGGTTTGAGAGGGAGGGTGCGGCGCAGAGGAGAGGGAATCCGGCGGGCAGGGCAGGGGTGTCGCAGGGATTGTGGTGACAGATCCGCCGTATCTGTCCCTATCTGCTCGGGGCATTAAATTCGCGCGACGCCAACGCCGTGCCGCCACCAGAGAGAGGGATCCACTCGAATCGGTTAACATTCCGGTAGCGCGGCGATTCGGGTTTCAATTAAACGCAACGCCGCTAACAGACGTCGTCGCGCGGCGCCGCGCGGCGCCGCGCCGCGCCACGCCGGTCAAACCACGCCGCGAGACGGATTTTAAGAATGCAATCCCTCCGAATGTAAAATCTCTACGAGTTTATTCGAGAATGAAGGTGTTACATTTAGCAAAAGCGTGCTTTTTGTGTCTGACATCTTCGATTAATCAAATCGATTACTTATTTCAGAAGCTCGCTTTTTGCGAGCACATGTGACTCAATCATAAAAATACAAATCAATTTTTCAAATCAATCACAGACAAATAAACAAAATTAAAAACTTAGAGTTTAGACTCGCAAAAATTAAACCGATGGAGTTAGCAGGAGGATCTCAAGCCAAAGAAGATTGTAGTTCTTAGAATCTTTTATTTTAACAAATGTTTCTCATAAGCCGCAAACGGCTGATCATTTAGCCATCTTCAGTGTTAACACATCTGTTTAGTAGAAAGATTGTAGTTTCAATTCGTCATTATTAAAAATTTTTAGATGTAAAGTCACACATGTGATTGCGAGATGGTCTTGTTTATATAAGTGTTAACAGAATGTCACCATGTACTCGACTGATCGTCATGGACTGAGTACATGGTGACATTCTGTTAATACTTATATAAACAAGACCATCTCGCAATCACATGTGTGACTTTACATCCAAAAATTTTTAATAATGACGAACTGAAACTACAATCTTTCTCAGTCCATAACGATCAGTCGAGTACATGGTGACATTCTATTAACACTTATATAAACAAGACCATCTCGCAATCACATATGTGATTTTACGTCCAAAAATTTTTAATAATGACGAATTGAAACTACAATCTTTCTACTAAACAGATGTGTTAGCACTGAAGATAGCTGAATGATCAGCCGAAACGTTTGCGGCTTATGAGAAACATTTGTTAAAATAAAAGATTTTAAGAATTACAATCTTCTTTGGCTTGAGACCCTCTTGCTACTCCATCGGTTTAAAAAAAATTAATTACTTTTTCTCACAAATATTTTACCAAAATTTAAAATTGCACAGCGGTCAAAAATGTTGAAGCGAATATTAATGATTTTCTTTTGTAATAATTTATGTGAAGCAAAACATCTAATAATATAATAATTCTATTACAAAGATTTTTGTATGTTTCTCCTGAAATCATCGAATCAATTATAATACGGTGTATTTGATGCCAATTAATTATTGCTAAATAATAATAATAATAATAATTCATGAATATTGCCTGCGGTATAACGATTTATAATCGCCAATTACAGTCGAGCGTATTTTCGCTTTATTTTAAGATGACATTTGTTGTTTAGATTTAATCATCAATAATTGAATATTACTTTTAATCAATATTAATATAAAATTGTATTGTTATCGCTTCTTTGAATCTTTTCAGTCGATTTATTGATGCCTCTTTTCATGTTGCAGTTTTAATTATTCTAAGTGTTTTAATAACAACAATGGTCAACGATAAGCAAAACGGATTTAAACTTTTCATCTTCATATATCGTATTGAAAAGTAAATTCTTTAAAATTTTTTTAATTGATAATATCTCTAGATTTTCCTTTTGATTTAACATTTACAACAGCCGTGAATTATTGGCTTTCTATAATCGATTATTTTCATAAGTAAATGCAAGTTTAATCTTCGATAATCTCTATATAATTGCGATAATAGCGACAGCTTTACTAAACATAAACGTTACATTAAAGTTTTTTAAAGCACAGTTTAAAAAATTTCTTTATCGAATTAATTTGCATAATATATCTTATATAAATGTTATGTTTTGTAAAATCTATTATCATCACTTTAAAATTGGTCATAATGTCATCTTCCTATTACATGCAAAAGTCGCTATCCATTGAGGACACGTCACGAACATTAATCATCAAATGTTAAGGACGATCGATAATCTGACAGTATGCTCTCGTCAACAAGGGCGCACATGGTAATTCCGAATAATCGAAACATGAGTAAACGACAGTGCTCATTACATTTAGACGATTAGAATTTGATAATAATTGCATAAAATAATAAACAGAAGACGTGAGGTAGAAACCGCAAAATAGAACACTTCAAAATAGAACATAATACAACATCTTATAAATTTTGTAAAGTTTTTCCCAAAAACTAATAACGAGATAAAAAGATATTGTCACATAAAAATATAAAAAAATCGAAACTATTGTAGAAGAAAAATACTAACTGCGAGCAAACGATACATTAATCTCGTGAAAAATGAATATTTTTCTGGCTTATTAAAAGAAAAGGGATGCAACGGGTGACATTCACCGAGAGTATTGTTAAACAGATTATTCTGCGCCCAATTTGGCGACTTTGTAAATATTCTTACAATTAGTGACGATACTTGGCTTTATTTTGTTTGCCCGAATAAAAAGAAAAAAATAAGATCAAGCTGATAGCTAAGATCATGTTGTTATTGTTTCGAATATCGGGCGAGTGGAGCGATTACGCCAAGTCTCGCAACGAAATCGCCGAGGCAATTAATCGTTCCTGAGCATTAACGAGGAAATCCGTATTTGATACTAGTGGCAGATGTTCCGTGCGGCAGAAGTGAGATACGAGAAGCGAGAATTGTCGGAGGTCAGAACGCAATGCCACGTGAATTTCCATGGCTTGTAAGCATAACAAGGAAAGGTGGACACTTTTGCGGCGGTGCTATCCTGAATAACAGGTGGACGTTAACAGCAGGACATTGTTTATGCTCGTAAGTGATCTACATTATACAAACTTATACAAGCTATACTACATTTGCATGGTTTATTATATAAAAATAAATTATATTAAAGAGGTTTCATAAATTAAAAGAATCATAAAATAAAGAGCCAAAAGCCTATGCTGGATGGACGTGTTTGTATTTGAACCAGTTTGTTGTTTATATTCTGGTTTAAATACATACGCACGTCCATCCAGCATAGACTTTTGGCTCTTTATTTTATAATTGTTTTTATTATATAAAAGTCACAAATTCTAAATTTTTAACTTAATCTTTATTCGAACAACTCGTAAATGCCAATTAAAATAATTTCAGGAAAATACAATCTTCATACTTAAATCAATACTTTTTTTAAATTTAATTAGTATTGAATATTTGTCAAAGTAAGATTAAATAATTGTTACAGAAGAGAGAGAGAGAGAGAGAGAGAGAAGAGAGAAAGAGAGAGCACAATACAATTTCACGTATTTGATTTTTGACTAAATCTCTCGGGCGGAACCGCGTGCCAAAAGAAAAGTTGAAATTATATACATGAGCAGAGTGAATATTGATGAATATTGATGAATTCAAATTACAATACATTACATTTTGCTTATATTTTAATAGATTTTCAAAAGGTGCATTTTTATTAATGTAACTCAGAGTCTATGAAACACTAAGTCTTTCACAAAGTAGGCTTTAAATTCAACAGTCGAACTAAAACTTACAATTTCTTAATAACTTTTAATAGGATGCTTGCATATTAAATCTTGTTAAATAAGCTGGTGAAGCCTGATTATTATCTTATAACTTATCTATGTACAAAGAATTTCGTTTAACTTTATCAAGAATATTTTATTATATTTTAGTTCCGTCAGATTTTTTTACTTGAATAAACGTATGTAAATTCGCGACGTGAATTTGCGATTTACGAAAGTGAAGTGCATGATTTTACTTTTGCTCGGTGATGCACGTAATTGATATTTTTTCAAAGATATCTAAAATATGCCATGTATTTCTTTCTAAACAAATTTTATTTCAGAAAAGAATCCAGCAATATTAGTTTTAGATTCCTGAAGATGTTAATTGATGATAGAGAAAGAATTTTCATCGAAATACATATTTTTTAATTTACTGTTTCATTTATAAAAACTGAATACACAGTTATAAAATATCAGCATAAATAAAAAATATTCTATATTTATATATATTTTCTTCTTTATAAAATCGGAATATACCAATATTATTTATCGTGCATATGCATATATTTGCAACATAAAACAATGCATATTCTATCATCTACGGAAAAATAAATGTCTTATTTTCACATATATACTATGCTTCTTTGTTTTTGTTTAAAAAAAAATAGAATTAAATGTTTCACTGTCAATATATTGATATTGTATTATCGGAAAAAAAATGTTGATAGTCATTTAAAATCTGCATAGATTTAAAGCTCTTTAGACAGCATCTTGTCAAAGTGAAGAAATCAAATAATAAATACGAATGGTTATGTCGCGCATTAAGCGGATAACAATCACTATCACTACGTAGCAGACGAGTTTGCACGGCCGCAGCGATGTATGCGGGACAGCTTTCGTGTAGATATAATTAAACGGGCGAGCGGACCCATAGCTGGATGGGCAACAAAACGTGCAGATATTGCGTATCCCTTTCGGTCACTGGACAGATTACAGAGGGACGGAATGGGGAGGATGATAGGGGCCGTTCGGGGTCGGCGAGCGGCCGTAGAGAGAATTCAGCGCCGAGCTTTGGCGTTGTAAACCATGATTGCGTGTAGATTACAGACCACTCGGTAATTGCTAGCAGCCATGCAAAACGCATGGAAAACGTTACAACAAGGCGCAAGGCTGAGAGCGTGAAAATGAAGGCGGCTGTGTGTCTCTATCGTCTCAGTTTATTTCATTCTGCCGTACCCTCTAGCTTTCTCTTTCTCCCTCGTTTACTACATAGTTTAGTATCATTTACGCTGAAAGAGATAAACCCGACACGTTCAGTAGTGGTATCTAACGTCTCGCTGCGTTAAATGTATAGCGATTAAATTTCCGGTAATCTCTCTCTCTCTCTCTCTCTCTCTCTCTCTCTCTCTCTCTCTCTCTCTCTCTCTCTCTCTCTCTCTCTCTCTCTCTCTCTCTCTCTCTCTCTCTCTCTCTCTCTCTCTCTCTCTCTCTCTCTCTCTCTCTCTCTTATGATTTCTTATATTGAGAAGAAAAAATTATAATAAAATTTATTTCTTTTTGGGGATTTTAATCAAAGATTTTAATTTAATTGGAATATAAATGCAGCCGTGAATAATCAGTTATATCAGATATTTAAAGATATTAAATATTATATATAATAATAATATATTAAATATATAACTGAAATTTGTGTAATAAATAATTAGTTTCTTTAATAAATAAAAATATAATTTTTGTCGCGCAATTTCTTTCATTGTTATTTAGAATTCAAAATGACCACTAAATGCAAAAAATCTTTTTGTCTAAATTACGCGAAGATGTATAAATTTAAACTTATCGAATAATACCTAAAGAGTTTCAAAGAACTTAGTAAGTGCGTATACACATCTTGCGTGCAACGCAAACTAGCTGAACTCGTACAAAATGTAATTTGCTGGATTAGCGAATGATTAAACAAATTATATAACACGCTGTTCTATCAGACTGATGGCGCGGCGGTCAATTACTATTAATAGAATGCGCGCCGTGAATAATATGGTTGATTAATCGTCACACGTGCACACACGAGCAAATATGAGTTATATCCGCATAGTGATACAAGAACTGGCAGCCTAGCGACGCAACGTCGATATTTCCCGTTCGACGATATCGCACGGTAAATTAATGTTCAGCAGTGCCTTATTGCTAACGTCATTCTCCGTGTAACGTTGCGTAATTCACAGGCACGTCCCGATGCCGATATAGTGGTGCCAGGAGAGCCGCACGATTTAACGAGCCGGACCGAAATTAATTCCAATCGATTTACCGATTCGGCATCCAATTAATTTTTAACGAGGCCATCAGTATGTAGAAAAAATGAATGCTGTCGTAATTCCAGATGGCAAACACTGCGCACACAATGATAAAAGGATACATACGTGCAATTTAATTGCAACAATGTATGTTGAACAAATTAATTAATTTTTGCTTTAATTAATTTTGATAAATTGAAAAACAACACTAACTCTGTCGTGTTTTCGTTATTTTATTTTTATCTGATAAATAAAAAAAAAGACACGGACGAAATTATACAGATATTAACCCTCCCGAAAATACTCATCACACTGTTAAAAACATTTGTGAATTCAGCGCGCCGATAGCGACTGTTTCGCATCTGTACCGAATAAATTAATTATACATATTTTAGTTATTAATTAATGATATATCTCATAAATCGAGATAAGTAAATCTGAACTTATCAAGAATGCGAAAATCTTAGTTTTTCAAATAAAACCTATTTTAATTCATTATTACTTTTCGGTCCGAGAATATTAACTATTATATCGAACTACGTGTGATCAGTATCCCAAGAGATCTCGGTCTAAAGCAAAATCGGTCAATGAAGCAATACATGACCGCTCGATCTGCTGCTGCTAATCAGCTAATCAGATAATCATAGGTAGGATAATAATGCAATGATTATGTGATAGTAGGTTACACGTATGTTACGTGTACACTACAAGCAACACACACGTCATATTTTTTGATTAAATGATATGTGCCGGAATTTCAAACATTATAACTTGAAAAATTGATATAGTCTGACCAAAATAGATCTTTTGTACTTCACATTCTGTAAAACGCTTATGTAGCTATCCAGTTCATACCTTATTTCTGTAATATTATATATTAAAATTTGCGCCAAATACAAAACAATGACTAAAATATAAAAGGCTTTATCTCACAGTTATAAATTATTATACTTATTTACTGATACATAATATTTATGCATAATTTACGAAAATTTTTTAGTTTATTAAAAAAAAATATAGCAAATTAATTATAGACTGCACAGCAAAGTACAGAAATATGAATGCACTAAACTAATGACAAATTCCAAAGCAACGCAGTAATTATCTTTTTTTTTCATATTTCACCAAGCCTTTTTGCTTGCATTCCGAGAGGAATGTATTCATTTTATCTCGAATAACGCAAAAACATAGATATTTATTCGATAAATCACATTTGCTTAAAAAAAATAAATTGAAATCATATTATATATTGTTTCGGACAATATATATTTGGTTATTATTAAGTTAAACCAAATAAATCTTATCGTCAAAGATTAAAGCGAGGTAATTTATATACATCTCTATTTGTACGCTATATATTATTTAATAATTAATTAACTTATATTAATATCTCATTTGAACTCTCTCCGTTTGAACTAAAGTTGTGTTTTGCAATTTGCATATGTGTGCATCACTTTATAAATGAGTTACGTATTATACTTATAATGATAATAAAGATATTCCATGCATATATCACATATCATGCATACAAAAAATAACAAGGCGCTATTGTTTTTACGTCAAAATCTGACAAACTCAATTTAATTAAAATTATCTTTTTCATGAATGAAAATATTAATTTATTCAATTTTGAAAAGGCATATGTGGGTCATTTGAATTCGTGCTATTTCAAACTTTTCAATTGACTAAAATTATATATTTAATCTTTTTGTAACATGATAAGAGAGCATGTAATTAAATTCTAAAAATTTTTCTTAAACTAGTGCAAATTTCTTCGGAATTCTTTGAATACTTGAACGTTGTCGAAAATTGACCTAGATGTGAATGACCTATGTGAGCTATTAAAGTTTAAAAATATATACGCCACGTAAGAGTTAAAGCAAACATTTAATACAATCAACCCTGGTTTGCCTAAGCAAATCGAATTGCTGCAACGGCCGTGTATCTCGTCGCAACAAGCGAGCTCCTCGCTGCAACACCTGAGTGCTCGCGCATTTTAATTGGAAGGGCGCGACGTCGAGGAGGAAGGAGTGCCGGAGATGCATTGAAAGTAAACCGTATAATCCGCGAGCCGCGGAACAATAGCGGGGACTCGGCGACGATGGAAAGGTCCATTAAGGCGGCTTTGTAAGGAGCGGCGGCGAAACAGGGCCTGGAAACTTAGAAAACGCTCCGCGATAAACTCCAGAAGAGCGAGAAGGGATGTGCAAGGGGTTGCTGACGAAAGTGGGACGGGGCTCGCGAAACAGTGGCAGGACGCGGAGGGTAAGATGGAAGGAGCGGGCACGAATGAAGCGGATAGCTCTGGTGGAGGGGGTGTCGTAATTTTGTTAATTATTCAGAGGCACCGTAGACCGATTAATTAACTGAAGCCACTCCGGTCGGGTCAGGTATTCAAGGGAGCTCTGCAGACGCGAGCTCGTCGCTTGGGCGGGACAAAAATCCCGGTTAAATAATTACCGACGTCCCAGGGAAAGAAATTGCGAAAGAACTGGAATTCGTCGACGTAGTTGAGGGCGCGCCATCGCCGCCGGGCGGAAAGGGGAACAGTAGCGAGATATATCGACGTCGGGATACTTTTTGCCGAATGCATAACACGCGCTGCACTCTCGGCGCACTTAACTCTCGCGATGATTACTCGCCGGTGTCGTTCCGATGTCGGGCTTGGACTCCTTACAGGTTAAAAAGGGTAAAAGAGGAACAGAAAAATCCGTCAACGCGTATGTGTATATGTGTGTCCATAATCCATAATGTAAGAAAGAAAGATTGAGTACTATCTTGCTTTTTACTCGCTGTTTTTGCAACGCGGACATAAAAGTTTTTTTTACAGAAGACGTAAGTTAAATGTTTCGAGGTCTCTCGTAAAAAAAAGATACGTACACATTTCTCTAATGTACGAACCTTTTGGCTAGATTTTTATACTTCGCTCTTGCAGCAATCTACACATATTTTTATCTTCAAAGTTTCCTTGTTAAATTTCGAATAATATCGCGAACGATTAACAATGATTTTATACAAGTTATACGACACACGCTGCTGTTATTTGCTACTATTTAGATCTAGAAAACGAGAAACCAATAATATTACGTTAATCATGTGATTTGCAAATAATAATCAAATTAAGTTTGTTCTCATTTCAGCGGCACGAACACGATTCCGGTAGGACAATTACGTGTCACATTAGGCGAGCACAATTTAAAGGCTCAAGAAGTGCCGGCCGCAAGACACGAGAGCGTCATAAACGCGGTGTTGCATCCCGGTCACAGGTGCGGCAAATATGTAGACGATATTGCCCTGCTGGAACTTGCCAGAGCAATCAGTTGGTCGGAAAGCGTGAAACCCGCATGTTTACCTGTGGCCACAGGAAAACCAGGGTATAGCGCCTTCGGCGACGTGCAAGGCGTAGTCGCTGGATGGGGTTGGCTTGGGGAGGATAGAAGCAGATGTGAGTAAATAATTGCCCTTCTTTTCAATACTGTTATGTATGAGATGATGGCGCTTTGGGATTAACTCATTGCGTCAATTACTCTCGGGCTTTGATGCTTCGGCAAATATAATGTCGCTATTTAAAGCTATCGTGACGGCATATTCAGAAACTGCAATTTCTGTCATATTATTTAATACAAGATATATGCAAATATACCTTTTGAGATTTAACGTTTACGTATTTGTCAGATTAAATTTTAAAAAATGTTAATTTGAACGAAATATTCTAAAAAGCTAGATAATAAAGTTTAGTCTGTTATATTACATATGTAATAAGTGCCTAACGATGTAACGAATATCGTGATATATGAGTATGTATTCAATTGTATTCTATTTTACAACACGACGCACCAGTTTTTACTAACTTATTAATTAAAGGAGTTTGCTTCCGGATATTCTGATTTCCGCGAAACTTCCTATCAGAATCGAATATCAATGAAGCGCTTTTGTGCACTTCCGACTTCTGTCAATTACTAGTAATTGGCATACTTTGGGATATTGTGTTCATATTTTGCGTTCATATTTATGCGTATGAGATTGTATCATAATGCACGAGCAATGAATAAATTCCTGCTAGAATATAGTGGGTGCGCGAAGATTCTACTCGGTCGTCGACCAAGTTGCGAATAGCTGGGTCTTCATAAATACTTGAGATACATCGGTAAGCCTGAAGTCCAAGAAGTTTCGATAAATCTTATCACGATAACGATCGGAACGACGAAACACGCGCAGAAGTTTCCGTAATCACCGAAGTTTCCGCATGCCCGATAGAAGTTCGATATACTGATTCGCATGAAATCAATAAAATAGCCAAGGTCATCTCAGCTATAAAACAGAAGTCATCAAGCGTTATTGCCGGGGGAAAGTTATTCTAATCTTAGAAGATCTTAAGATAATACGACATTACGTGGAGTTATATAAAGATTTTATATATGATACGTAATCAATTACAACAAAAAGAGAGAGAGAAAAAGAGTTTGATTGATGGAGCAATACCTACTTCAATGAATAAAATATGTATATTATATTGAAAAATTGCCTAATTCTATGTAATATTGATCAATCTATTAAACGTCGGGGCGAACAACCCTTATTTGCACAATCGATAATATCCAGATTTGATGTCGCAATTAAATTTAAAGTTTAAACTGTAAGCTTTTAGAAACAAGAGCCCTATCTCGACTTAGGACACGAGTACGATTTATTAAAAGTAAAGTTGTGGCGTATATCGAGATGTCTCGCCATTATGTTCCAGACAAAAGAGCAGACGTGTTGCAGAAAGTGGAAGTTCGCGTGGTAGCAAATACAGTATGTAGGGAATGGTACGCGAGCCAGGGCAAGTCGATCCTCGTAGAATCAACACAAATGTGTGCCGGTTGGGAACAAGGAATGAGGGATTCATGCTGGGTAAGCAAAAAGAGACTATTGCAGATTCACCTTTGGGTGGGCACATTCACATTTTTGCATTTGCGCATCGTTGCTCACTCGACGGCGTTTGTCAATCGCCCGATCACGGAATTCATGGTTCGTCGAGCGGGCACGACGCGAATTTCAATAAATACTCACGGTACCGTAGTAATGTGCATACAATGCTGTTCGAGCATGATAGCCCGAACTATGCTGGATGATACCGATCCTCGGTAATTGGATCGTATATAATTGCATCGGCCTCGCACCGCGGATCTCTAATGTGGTGCGATATTTATGCAAAATTGTGACAGAGATTGGGAAAAGACCGATAACGTTTACTAAAGAACAAAAAGTAATATTCGAACTTTCTACGCTATCGCCTCAAATGCACAATCAATTTTTTTAATGTTTACGTCAATATTAAAAACGGTATGTTTTACATCAAATCAATTTTTTTAAGGATTAGCGATATTCATATTTAGCTGAATACACACGAAAACAAACTTATAAAAATTTTTAATAAAAAAATTAATATATGAATGGAATCAGTTATGCTTTTGATATTGCTACAGAGAAGTCCGAGAGCTGCTATTTAGTTTTTAGCGGTGTTTTTTGCTTATCAACTTCAATATTAATTTTTTTTTTTTAAATTTATTTTGTACGCATTTATTTTAGAAATGGAAATATACGTACAGGATATTCCAGACCAACCGTATCACCTGTTAATAATAAATTTTTTTTGTAGAAAATCTTTACCCCAAAATGTCAAGACTATAATAATTTTTAAATGCAAAGTATTTAAAGTTGATCAATCAGATTGTCAAAAATTTACCCGCTCACAATCAGACACGTCGCATATTAATTTTTATATCTCTGCCATATGAGAAACACTAGAAATCTGCTATTAACAAGTGATATGAATAGTTTACAATCCTGTATACTCGGTATATTTTACAGTATTTTTAAATCTATTCTCTTAATAATATAAAAAAAAATTGGATTGACTTACCGGTACGATGCGCAGCAGCGGAGTTGTTCACAAGTTGATCTGTAACATATAGAATACATTCAAATTATAGCAGAAAATTATTTAAAATAATTATTCAAAAAATATAGTTATTACGCACATTAAACTTTTACTCTATTATGCAAATATTAAAAAAAAAATTACATATTTATATCTTTAATAACCATAAATATTAAAAATTGCAAATCTTTTATTGAAAGATTTTGTTTCAAAATTTCTATGCGCATTACATTGCACGATACTTCACGCGCAATATTTTACAAATAATAGATAACAAGCAAATGATTACTTACCCTAAAGTTGCTCCGCCGGCGCCCGATGCCCTTTCCAAGCCTCCTCCTCCTCTCAGTCCTCGCAGTCCAAGATCACTCACTCGCGTTCGCGTCGCAAATACAAAAATCGCCCGATATTTTAAACGACACTCCCGACGCGTACTTCGCCATGTTGGGATAAAGATGTAACTCGAATATTATTGCACGGAATACACGTTCGACACTCTCTGCAATAGGTAACGACGAGAAAGAATGAGATAAAAAACTATGGGAGATAATAAGGATATTATTGAATAGGGATAATTCGCTGCTACGGAATAATGTACCCCATACGAGTGCCGCCGTGCGAATAATAACAGGACAACAGCAAGCACAAGGTCGTGCCGATTTCGACTTGAAGGAATGCGAGGAGTAGGGGACAATGTTTATGCCGATACATAGTAAGAGAGAGATAGAAAGAGAGAGAGAGAGAGAATATATAGAGCGCGCATACCAATAATAAACACGACGACGAAAACAACCCCACCACACACCGCGAGTCAGTCTTGAAACATTAGAGTAATTATCAAACATTTATCGAAATCGAGTTTAAATTCGATTTCAACTCAACTTTAATAAATGTTTGATAAATACACTGATGTTAAAAGTTTCGAGAATGACTCACGGCATTTGATGGGGTTGTTTTCGTCGCTCTTAGTCCGTGTGATTCTTTCTCTCTC